TTTCACAATCTGTGAATTGAAAATAACTGATTGTTCAATGATTTCAGTAGCTTCTTTTTAACAGTTATTTAAGTGACTTCGTGTGAACAAAATAGGTTTTTTATTCGTTGGAAGTTCCAATCGACTTATATCTTTAACCTTGTAAGTTAGACATTAACACCATCGGATGCCGGCTCAGTGGTCTATCGGTTAAGTTTTCTGGCACGAAACGGGTAGGTCCTGAGTTCGAATCTCGTGAGGCGGGATCGTGAATGCGCACTGCTGAGGAGTCCCACAATAAGACGAAACGGCTATCCAGGGCTTCGAGGTTTTCCATGTTGATTTAGCTTCAATTGACTCATGATTTCAACTATGAAAATATTGAAATCTCCACAAAACCCCTTCTGATTTTAAGGACTAATTAGTTTTAAAACGAATTCATGGAAACAATTGAATTAGTTGCTTAAAATAAAAGGTCATTAATTCAAACAATATTTTTAAATTATTGTTATGTCTTTGGTAACTATACATATTAAACGGTGGATTGTAGTAGAACGTTTTTCTTTATTTAAGATTCATCATTTTTTGCATCATATGGGGATGTTAAAATCGCATTTGGAAGTTCTAATTACTTTTTGTTTAAGCATGAACATTGTTAATAGTACAAAGAAGGTATCACAACTGAATGTTTTTATACTAAGCTGTGAACTTAATAGCCATAATGGTCAGTTGCCTACCTGACCATAGCTACTATCTTGGATTGCTGATCTGACTTGTGTATTGTGATCATCCAATCGAGCTATATTGACTAGACTATTTATGCCTTTTAGTTCTACTATTACAAACAGGTCGAATGGAGGCGGTAAACTAAAGTTCAGGGGCGGAATCGTACCGCTGACTGTACTCGAGTGTAACGACATTAATTTGTTTCCCTCAAGCAAACAACATCTTCAGGGATGCTACATTTTCACAAGCGGTTATAAACCGTCGACCCTTAAAAATGCTGTGCCTTACCTTACCCCATGGATCTCCATCACTGATAGTAAGACCACAACAGAGTAGAACTAACCCATTTACAACTACTCATAAAAATGGTCTTGCTCACAGTAAAGTATTTTAATTACTGTTTACTATTTCTTCTGTCTACACTATCGATTTACGCAAGCTCGATCCTAAAATTGAATGCAAACTTATTCTCAACGAATTCCTCGATTAAATGCCAAAGTTATGCCTTAATAATTCGGTTTTTTCATAGATGAAGTTTTAAATATAACTCACTGAATAAAGTGTTAGTTTCTTTACTTATGATTATTGCTACAATACACTGATGATTATCCAAACGTACTTTCAACAATATCAAATATACAAGATTGTACAATTCATATGAATACTCCAAATCATCTACTGAGCTTTCTTTTTAAAGATCTTATATAATTTAAAGGTATCAAGTAAAATTCCATGAAAAACACAGGCCGGGTGGAATAATAAACAGTCAGTTCTTAATAGTTTAAAACTTTTCAATAGTCAAAGATTACGTTTCATAACATTGAAATGGCAAGGAGCATACAGTGTCCCTATTGAATTATTGAATTGAAATGTAGATCATAATTTCAAAGTTAATAAATTTTCAATATATAGCATGAGATATTTATTGCTTCAAACTGGTCTTGTTTGATCTCGTGGAGGAGTCCCATACTGGGATGGAACGGCTGTTCAGTGCTTCCAGGTTTTCAATGGTGGTCAAGCACTCATCGATTCATGATCTTAATCAAAATACTTTCATATGATTTTACATAACCAAATGTTCAAAGCCCAATTATTTACAAACTCAACAGATAATTAATTCAATTTGAAATGGTTTTAATGATCTCGTTGTTGATATTTTTGACTAAAATTTGATTAATCTTGCTTAGCGTATGAACATTCTATACAGATTGCCTTAAAATAGCTATTATGACACAAGTTTACATAGAATAGATAGAATGTAGCTGGCAGTGGAATTCAGGGCACGTGTTTCGTCCCATTTGGGACTCATCAGTCGGATGTACCTACATCTCGGAGTGAATAGAGAAAACGATGTTCAATTTTCAATGTTTAGTTTTTCATTTATAAATTGCGCTGCTCTATGTTTATTTTAATAGACGATGGAGAAAATAATTTGTTTATGTTCATATATAAAGATAGGTGGCAATATAGTCTCAATTAGATAGATAGATAGATATATATATATAGTTTGTAAAAGCGTTACAGATTTCAGAAAAGTGTGATTGTTTTCTTCCCTTTTCTTACAACATGTCACTTAGTTAGTTACTACTAACAAAATATTAGAAGAGATATTAGTGACTAATCTAAATTAATAGAGATGTGGACTCAGTGGGGGGGCTTCCATCTGATTTCATGTTGTTTTTTTTCATGAATATAGACATTTTTCTTTGCATTTTATCTTTTATCAGATACCGTATACATCCTGTGATTCACTCATTCATGTTTTGCTATTTATAGTCAAACTGACTACATGAAATTGTATAAACATTGTATGGTTGACGTTTAAATCTTCCTTTCTTATTACAAACATTCACAATATCCATAGACTGTTTTCATTCAGCATCATTTTGCTACCCAAATTAAGAACTGATTGGGTTTTTCTTGGTTAAGTAACATTCAGTGTGAAACATTAACAATAGACAATCGTAACTGATGGAGTTTTATTCTCTGAGCTGGATGGTTTGGTCGTGGAGCTTTCATTGTTCTTCTGAACGACATCATCAGCACCTGACGTTTGTGCTGATGATGTCGTTCAGAAGGATGATGAATGTTCCACAACCAAACCATCCGGCTTAGAGAACAAAACTCCATCATAATCACCCACATGAGCTACAAATCTTCTCCACCATCTCAGACAATCGTAGCCCTAGATATTAATGGGAAGATTCAAATAAACAATACCAAATGAATTAGACAATTCCTAATACAAGTTTTTACGTTCTAATATTATTGTAGTTCTAATCAAATATAAACATTAGATGCAGTATAGACTTATAAGAGAAGTTATATAATAGGGTAATTATTAGTTATTTAGACACAAATAACATAGGAGATAGCACATATGTCTTTTGGTTCAAATTACTACATCAAATTAGCAGTGAGATAAAATTATCAAGGCAATTAATGCCAGATTATTAAAGGCAGTAACATTATTAATGATAATAGAAAAGATTAGACATGAACAATATGGTTCCAGACGAAAGAATGAATTCGTGAAGTGAAAATGTATATCTCCAGACAAAAACTAAATGCATATGTGACTGATTCTGACTTATGTGAGTCAACTATAATCGCGTATACCTCATCTAGGTAGTCTGTGCCTATCTACATAGTTCAAATCAACAATTAATCTTTTAGAAGATAATTCTTGATTTCACCACCTCTAGCTGTTATATCGTAATGAAGACATAAGTACGGGTAACTTCCGGGACCTATTAGTGGACGACTATTCTATATGTATTCTTATTGTTTAACTATTGAGTAACTAGATTTTGTATATTTATATTCCTCTTATCATAAGCTTCATTTTGACCTATGGATTATTATTATACGATTTACTGTTCCTAAATTATATTCAGTTTATTGATTACTGTTTCCCACGTTCACAGCCACATTTGGCTTGATCTTGTACAAATATTATTTTCTATTTTATGGTGTGATGCGGTCTGTCTATCTGGTATATAAACCGAGTATGCTTGAAATAAATGATTCGCATAGATTCATATAGCAGAAGCTGTAATTGGTGTTCTGGACTCATTTAAAAGGGCTAGGCGGACAAGGGACCAATAAGGATACTAGACTGCTCATACCAGTTGGACGTCATTGATTGCCACAGTCTTGAGATTAGAAAAGTCGTATTTCCATTGGTGGATAGTTCACGTGATAAAAGCCGGACATAAAATCAATAACGAATTAGCATACGTCCTATATTCTTCATAAAGTCACAACAGATTCACAATAAAAATATATCTTCACAAATTACAATCATCTGTTTACTAGTGAATAATTTCAAGAGGTATTCCTTAGAGTTATAATGAGAATCTATAATCAGTACAGTTCAACCATTGTACGTCGGATTCATTGATTTATAGGTTAAACGCGCTTTTGTACATTCGTTAATATCGTCAAATTACAACTTCGCATAACAACATTTTTCAGAAGTTCATATTAAAAAGCAACACTTAAAGAATAAGTCAGTTTATGACCAAACTGTTTTCCTCTAGAAAGAGCTTTTTAACCCCTAACTGATCAAATTATTCAATTAATTATATCATATGCACTGAGATGTTGTTTCAGAAAAATATCTCTGAAATTCTATATTTTCAGGGCTATTACTTGTTCACCTTTAATTCATTTCTTATTTTTATTGTAAAGGATTTGTTGAGATTATTTTATTTTGTAAGTTATTTCTTTAACTTATTTAAGTTAAACAGCAATTAGAAATCGTGAACAATGCGCATCAATACACTCATTGAAGATCACAGTCAAAACTTCCAAGTTTTGGTGTCTTATTCAGTGTACACATTGCTGTAGTCTTCCATACTAGGATGAAACAGTTTACCAATGTTCTTTGGTTTATAGTAGGTTATCTAACTCAAGTAAGTCTGTCATGTAAACCATGAAATTCAATATTCTCCCTAAAGTACAACCCATACTAACTGAATATTCATGTTTGTATCCAGTTTGACAATACTTTAATAAATAAGTTCCATAAAAATAATGTAATAACTTAAATTCGCCTGAATGAATAAACTTCTTACTGGTAATAGTGTCTTCTCTCGCTTCTACTCATGTTTCTACGATGTCCTGAATACGTTGAACTTTCTGATTTCCTAGATCACTTCTCAACTATCAGCTGTACCTCTACATACTAATTACAAGTAATCATGTGAGTAGTATTCACCACAATAATAACTTTATTTTATCTATTTGTTCAGTTCATTGGTGAGTGATGATATTGTGTTACTTACTTTCAGATATTACTGATCCTCAACAGCAGAAACAACAACTTCCAAGTAACTTTTCCCATTTTACCAACTCCAAATCTAGTTCAGCTTCATTATTTCTATCTGGACCTCATCCAACATCAAAGCAACAACATACAAATGTCACTTCTAATCCTTCTTCTTCGTCATCTTGCACATTGTCAACATGTTCACCAACTACGAACAACAACATTGTTAAACCAATTTCTTTACCAGTTAAAAGAGATTCCGTATTTCGAGCTGAAAAGACTATTCCCCGTAGATCCTTAGAGGCAAACAATAATGCTACCATCCACAATAACAACAACAACAACAATGAATCGATACAAAGTCCCATCAATACCTCTATACTAAATTCTAATAATAAAATACGAGTAACAAAAGATGACTCACGACGATATTTAAGTGAATTAGATAGTGTCATTAAAGAACTCTGTGAAGCTAATGAAGCAGCTGTACAAGCTACACGTGAAGCAGCACAAAGAAGACAATATCTAGGCTGGTCATCAACAACGAATTCACAGTTGAAACTCACATCAACAAATGAATCAAATATCATACCTATCCCAAGTAGTACTAATGCCTAATAAGTAGGTTTCTGTGTGTGTGTGTGTGTGTGCTTGGTAATATACTCTCATTAAGATACCATGTTTTTGCTCATTCAACAAACAGAGTGCAAATCTTATCGTACAAATTGAAGATCATTATTCACTGATACATTACTTTTTAATCTATTCGCTTTTGATATATGCACAAACACACAATAAGTTGTCTTGAAGTTTTCAACCATAACAATCTTTTACACACACACACACACACAGACTTTACTAGATTTCCACAGTTTCATACTTTATATTCTAGGTGTCGGAGATATATATTTCATTACATGAATATTTGAACTTATAAATGATGTTTGTTTCTTTGCTTATAGAGTTTCTTTCTTTTTTTCATTTCTGTTCCCTTATCCCTACTTCATATCCCTTATTGTTTAAAGAAAGAAGATAGTTTCATTCACTCATTTAATTTATGTATCATTTCTACATAGAATACAGTAATGATTGATTGTTTCATTTTATGAAAGTGTTTCATTAATATTTTACACATTGTAATCACTATTACATAATCATTATTACTACATTAAACTTATTATGCAATATACATATGTCACATATATACTGCCCGTTAGTAACAAAAGAGAGATCTATTTTCAAAAATCAATATAATAGTAACCTGTCAATGAATCAAATTAATGCTGTATTGTGGCTTCTATTTTTGTTTTGTTTTACACCTTTATCTTGTTTATGTTTGATTTCATTCTGTATTTGACAATTTATGACAAATATTGTTATAGCTATAAGACTTATCATTTGTTTGCATAAGTGTTCATTGTTAATCATACTTTGTTTTAATCTGCTTATTAAAAAAGAAGTCATTATTATTGTGATTAAATATAATACTTTACACAGGCTTAATACTTACTAACTGACTATAATTCTGCGTTTCTATATATTGTCGATATAATATTATCAGGAGGGGTTTGAAATTAGACATTAACGCTGGTGGATGTCAGCTCATTGGTTCAGAGGTTGAACGTCCGCGCGTCAGACCGGTAGGTCCAGGGTTCAGGTTCCACTGGTGGGGTCGTGGGTGCACACTGCTGAGTAGTTCCAGTGTGGTATGGTCTACTTATATCCACATTAGTAGTATATAGTGATGGTCAGACATAGAATGTATTTTGGCAGAAAACCGATAAGGAAAGAACTGAAATGAAGTGCAATCGGTAGGAAAATGCATAAAAATGAAATTAAAAAAGATGGATTGATATTTACTGAAGGAACAATGAAGGTTGAGACAATTGATGGTTGTTTTGCAAATAAACTGTTGTTGTATGGTTATCAGAATTTAGTAAGATAGTCTGTAATTTGTGCCTAGATACATTCGATTGTCCCGTTGTCTTGTTTACTACACCAGGACGTAATAGCCGTCCAGTGCTTCCAGGTTTTCCATGATGGTCTAGCTTTAATTGACTTATGAATTCAACTATAAAAGTCCATATAATGGACAATATTTTACAGTCACTACAGGTACAGAAAGGTTTACTTGATCATTCTAGAATCTGTCTTTCTAATTAACCTCTATTGAGAAAAGTGACTGTATCATCAACACAGTAGTCAGATGTGAATGCTACAGTTAAATTTTCTGTCAACTGTTTAAGATGATTGGATTAAATAATCGATATACTTTGATAATTGTTTAAAAGAAGGGGGTTTTTGTGGAGATTTAGTATTTTCATAGTTGAAAGCGTGAGCCAATCGAAGGTAGACTACCAGGGAAAACCTGAAAGCACTGGACGTCCGTTTCGTCCTATTGTGGGACTCCTCAGCAGTGCGTAGAGTAACAATAAATAATGAACTAATAAATTAAAAGACCAGATAATATTGATGATATTTAAGTAGTATAAAGCCAAAAAATGTCAACTTGTTAAAGCTTTTGACATTATACAAATAATATAGGTACGATATGTGCCTTGCATCTTTGAAGTGCAAAGTACTTCTACAAGACTGCAAGGAATTTAATCCTGTGTACACCCTGGTTGGTGAGCAGATTAAAGTAGTCGTAAAGTTCGTGTATCTACGTAGCTGCATAAGTGCTGGTGGCGGCGTGAGTGATGAGATCGATGCACGTATAGTGAAAGCCAGAGCGTCTTATACCAATCTGGGCCATCTTTGGCGCCTTCGTGATATTAGTCTAGCTGTAAAAGGTCGGATCTACAAAGCGCCGGTGAGAGCAGTTTTGCTGTATGCTTTTTAAACCTGGCTTTTTCGAGTTGAGGACGTTAGACAACTCTCTGTGTTGAACCATCGTTGTCTCCGAAGAATTATTGACATCCAGTGGCAACACCATGTTAGTAATGCAGAGGTTCGTCATCGTATGTTCGGGCGCAGAGACGATAATCCAATTGGTGTTACCATCTTGAAACATCGATTTCGGTGGCTTGGACATGTTTTACGAATATCTTCCCAGAGAATTCTACGTGGTGCATTATTTGCCGACGTTGGGACTGGTTGGAAAAAGAGGAGAGGTGGTCAGTGTATGACATGGTGTTGTGGTATGAAGGAAAGCTGCAAAGAGTTGGCTTCTGTTGATCCTTCTCGACTCCCTGGCTGGGGTTCGAGAGATGGTGCAACACAGTGGCTAGAGACGTTATCAGTTATTGCTTGAAATAGAATCCAGTGGCGATTCTGCCGTAATCTTCTCTTATTTCATAAAAAGTGGTTGTAACTTCTTTGACTGAAAGAGTTCTCCTGGTTGTCCTTTCCATTTCCCCCATTATTATTCTTATTATTATACTAACACACTAATCTGTGGTTGTTATTGTTATCCTATTTTTTTCTTATACGCACCTTACCTTCTTTTTCTCGTCCCATCCTCATTGTTTTGTGGGGCGCATATAAATTCGGTGTCCCTTTGTACTAATATTTATGTGCTAAAATAAATAAATTATACAAATAGACTACTACTGTAGTTTGTGATTGGAGGTGGTCCGCAGAAGCCCTTGTTAATATGGGTTTTCTGCTAGTTAGCTCAAGTCAACAAAAATTACCTGGAACCATGTGAAAACTAATGGTCTTTGTGGGACTCAGATCCACATTATCTGGCTTCACAAAATGAGAAATTGTCAATGAGCTTCTGAGACTGCTATAGGGCTGCGATACTTACAGTGTGAGTCATTTTGAGCCATTTCACCCACAATATCCAACTATTGATTAGGATGATTGGTAGCACCCCAACTAGGCAGTATGCATCTTCCAACACTGTTAAATCGAATAGTTAATGACATCATGGATTTATACCACTTTTGATTCAGCTGCTCCTAGCTTTTATTAGTCTACACAAAAATTTACTCATTACACTTTCATTTACAAAATATCAAGCATATCAAGTAAACTAATGCTGTTTCTCATGAAATACCGGTTAATAACTGATTAAGTCTAGTCGGAGTGTGGTGAACGAGAACGCGAGTGGGAACAATCGACTGCATTTGAACACAATATTAGAGAATTTCTTACTAAAATCTGAGAATCATACAGTAAATACTTAATTTGCAAAATATCAATCGTCTCAGACTTCACTATTCCTTCATTTCCACACGAATCGCTTTCTGTTCCCGTTCTTTTCTTCCCGAACTTCTCAACCTTCTGCTGCCAGACATTCTATTCCTGACACACAGTTATTTTTCTGCATATTCATATATAATCATTAAATTCCCATGGCTAAACATAGAGTGTCGACTATGACTAGCTAGTAGTAAGAGATAAAACACTACACATTTCAAAAACACACACAAAAAGAAGAGGAAATATAAATAAGAAGAAATATTTTGATGTGTGCTACTGATGTCAACAGATATAAGTAGTATGTATCATCAATGGGAAGTGAAACGCTTGGCGGCAGAAGGTTAAGTAGATGGAAGAATAGAGAACAAGAACAATGAAAGACTGCAGTGGAAATGAAGGAACACTGAAGTCTGAGACAATTGATTGACATTTTGTAAATGAATTATTTACTGTATAGTTCTCAGATTTTATTAAGGGATTCCGTAATTTTGTATTTAAATATATTTGGTTACCACAGCCTGTATTCTCGTTCACTTCAATAAACCAACATAAATTAGAAGCTAATGTTGACACGTGAAAAATAAATACTGCAAAAAGAAAAATAAACAAACAATATATCTCTCTGTAAGCAAAGATGGATAGTGGCTAGCACTGGAATCCAGGATGGGACTCGTCAGCTGGATGTACCTGCATCTCAGAGTTGATGTTCTTACTGGAACTCGAACCCGATACTTTTCTCTTCAAACGCTATCACGTCATCCACTCGGCCACTGATTCCTGCTAGCCATTATCCATTTTTGATTGTAATGCTTGTGAATTAAGGCTATATCGAGGCAATACGTACAGTATGCACATATGCCAATAAGTGACTGATCAGTTGCAATCCTAAACATCAATGGGAACATTCAAACAAACAATAACAAGTGAATTTAATGTATCTCTCTGATTTTAAAAAAGGAGAAAAGTCATAAATATGTGGATTTTTCATTCTGGTATTCAACTGTCAACTAATGTTATCCACACTTTTTGTAAGGATGGCTCTTTGGCAAACTCAAATAAGCCACAAGAAGATCAGATAGCGCCGAAGACATTCCATTTAATCACCGCTAGAGCAACATTCTAGAATGTCGACTTGTACCTCCTATATTGGATGAATAAGAAGGACCGCCTATGTGCCTATTCACTGTTTGAAATGATTATTTACTTTCAGCCAAAAAACTATAAATACATGAGATTTTTGTACTATATTTGACAATGTGTTAGGAATAACATTCCTACTTACTAATCTTCTGTATTCTTTCTTGCGACGTTGCGGATTCGATCGTTCAAGTAGTCAAGGAGTACACAGCATGGCAACAATCTAAGCTCTATATATAACACTTTTTAATTATTAGGAATATAATATAATATCTGATTAAAATTGATTGTAAAATATGCAGAGTCATATGACGGTTTTTCTTTTGTTTTAGTTTAGAATGTAGAAAATTGAAACTTTTCCATTAACTTTCAGTATAGATTAAATAAAAATACTAAAATTAATGGTGTATTGTACTTTTATTTATTAAGTATAAATGACATAGACTTAAATACTTTCAAAGAAAGGGGGTTTTATGAAGAATATAGTCATTTAATAGTTGAATTCATCCACAATCCCACCTAGCGGAATCGTTTATGCATACTACTGAAGAGTCTCATACTAGGACGAAATAACCATACAGTGCGCTCAAGTTTTCTATGGTGGTCTAGCTTATATTGACTCATGAATTCAACTATTTAAATATTTGGGGGTTTTTTGTGGAGATTTTTAGTAATTTCTTACATATAGTTAAAATCATGAATCAATTAAAGCTAGACCATAATGGAAAATCTGGATGCACTGGACAGACGATTCGTCCACGAGGTATTTCCTGGTGTTCCAGTAAGAAGCAGTAACCAGTGGAGTTCAACCAGGTCTATTGGGAGATATCAACTCACTGAAGACATTGGTGAATGATTGCTCAATTTCGTGGATTGATTGAAGTTAGACATCAACATCGTTGGATACCGGCTCAGTGGTCTATAGATTAAGCGCTCGCGCACGAGACTGATATTTCCTGAGTTCGAATCTCGAGAGGCGGGATCGTGGATGCGCACTGCTGAGGGGTCGGACAACAGGACGATTTGGCCGTCCGGTGCTTTCAGGTTTTCCAATGATGTTCTAGCTTATATCAACTCATGAATTCAGCTATTTATTGAAAAATCTGTCCTTATTCATTTCAATTAAGATTAAAGTAACTTAGGCTTTTTCAATGCTTACGAAATTGATAATGTGGGTTATATTTTTTCTAAGCATCAAAGTAAATTATTAACTGGAAATAGCTTATAACAGAGATATCTGTCACCACAGGATATAAACTAAAGAAATGTTTGAATTCAGTTCAATTTAGTTTCGTATTAAAAGTAGCATGGAATA